TTTTACCAGTGATATCCGTCTATACATTTACGTAAGCCCGCTTTCTCTCTCATCCTCACAATTACGATATTACAATATTATTCCCTGCATAGTTACTACAACTCGACAGCAGACAGCGAGAAATCAAAGGGTTGAAAAAAGATATCGTTGGAATTTTTTCACTGCGATTCTTCGGCTCGATTTTAATGTTCTCGCATTTTATCGGGACTCTGAATGATAATACTCGGTCCGAGGGCTCTGAGAACCTCCGAAGAATGGAGAAAAAGTAGGAAAAAGAACGGGGAGAGTAAAGGGATCTAAGAGCGGCGCCCCTTCTGTTTCAATGAATACAGTAAACTTGAATTTGAGTTTCCAAAGAGGTCTTCGGTCGTTCGTTTCACGGGGCAGAGGATCCCGGCAGGCATTCGATAAAATCGATGGCCGTCGCTGAGAGGCAAGAGGATCGTATCTTTTGCGGCACGGCACCGAGGCCGGAGTTACGAGGCCAGGAAGTGACCAATAGTAAATTCCGCCGCGTGATTCCGAAACGAGGGTTCCGTCTCCAGGAAGTGTGGCCACATATGAGCCGAAACGACCCCTCTGACCTGCGACCTTCCGTTTTATCCCCGCACACCCGTCATTTTGACAAGTTTATCGCCGTCCCGCGTATGATAGAACGCCCACGTCGAGCATCTCTTTGTCTTTTCACCCCGGAGAGAAGAACAACGAGGAGAAGGCAGAGGGACAGATTCGAATATGGAATCGAAGAACCGTGAAATCCGCGGTGGAAGATTTTTTACAGCAGCCTGGAGATGTCGGGAATAATGTACAGCGTGTTTAACCGTTCGAGTATCGCGGATCGTTGTGGCAATCTGGCGGAAAAGCGATCAAATTCGTTCGATATGGAACGGTGACGATGAAAATTTTGTTTTACACATTTTCGTTGCATTTTCGAGTGTTTGAAAATGACACTGAGTGAAGGGAAAATTGATTATGTGCAATTCTACTAAATTTTTAAATACCCTCTTACTTTCACCAATGCTTTCCTGATGGAAAAGTGACGAGAAAAATTTTCTTTTGCACATTTTCACCGGGTTTCAGTTTCGCTACATTTTCGAGTGTTTGAAAATGACTCTAAATGAAGGGAATTATGTGAAATTCTACTAAACTTTTAAATACCCTCCTATTTTCACCAATTTCTTTCTCGTCGAAAAGTGATGTCAAGAATTTTCTTTTGCACATTTTCACTGGATTTTCGAGTGAGTGCAAATGACACAAAACGAAGGGAAAATTCTACCAAATTTTTGAACACTCTCTCGTCCGAAAAAAAATCATGCATGGAGAATTAAAAAACGAAGGAAACTCTTCTTCGTAGCGGTAAGAATATCTCGACGAAGGAACTATCGGGAAGTAAAGGAAGGTCCGCAGCTGCACCGTGGTTGGCGAACAACAAACTGCTCGTAATGCCGGAAAAGTGAAGCAAAACTGTAGAGAGGGAGAAGAGGTGCACGTATCGCTGAAGAAACTGCAAAGAGGTGAAACTTTGCGAATAAAGGAGGACGCAGGTACGCTTGGCGGACCGGAAACTCGCGTGTATCATCGCTAGGAAGTTAACAAAATGGCGTGGGTGGACACACGTAGGGAAAATTAGAGGGGAGATATCGAGGCGTGGACACGAAGCGCATCGCGGAAATTCGAAAAACTGAGCGTGTACGAGGAAATAGGTTGACCGCGACACAAGAGGCGGCAATTGGAATTCCCGGAAGTGGTCAATAGGAAGTTCTGCTACGTGCACTCGCGTCTATGAGGCTCAGGAAACGTAACCAAGGGGAGTTGAATCGAAACAGTCGAGCCGTGAATACATTGTCCACCGTGAATCTCTCTCGTCGTTGGCCATTGATTAGAAGAGGCCATTCATTGACGATCGATTAATCGGTCGACTCGATCTGCCCGTTTATTTTTCCCGATCTCGACGTGCACGAGCACAGAGAAATTACGGAGATCCTGTTATTACCTTCGTCGAGTGCTCCTCTCGAATTACATATTTTCGACCAGCGGTGGAGTTTATCGAATATCGAAGCTGCTACTAAAACAATTTAGACCGGAATTTTCATCAAATTTCTACTCTCAACAGGATTACTCGCGCGTCCAATGGCTACGTTAATTATCGAGCTATCCGATGATTCATCAAATAGAATATATTGATAGGATATGTATGAAAATTATCCGCGAGATATGCACGCGTTTGATCAAAAATCTGGCGAATTTAAATTCATTTAGTTGTTTCGTATCGCGTCGATTTCAACGAAAATTCTATCTATGCGACGGCGTTAAAAATAATATTCCGATAAACGTAGGACTTTGGATATATCGGGTGTTGAACCGTATCGACTCTCGAATTTAACGAAAAGTACGAGCAAAGGTGAACACAGAGGAGAAGAACGGTCGGATTAAGAGAGGCGACGGCGAGATTCCTTCGTTTCCGGTTCAGGTGGAAGCGGATGAAATTGGAAGTGAACGTAAGGTAGCGCTGGATGAAGTGTGACAGATTTAAAGAGGCGAGCGGAGGAGCGAGTTGAAGAAGCGAACGGAGCAATGGGCTGGAAAAGAGTTCCGCGTAACTCTTCGGCGTGGGAAGAAGTTGTACGCGAGTAGACGAAAGAGAAGAAGAGAAGGTGACGATAGATCGAACGAGTAGAAGCAGAATGATACGTCACGGTGAACAAATATAAATCGAACGGATAAACCTCGAAGCCGGAAGGCGGACAATAATGGGAAAAATGGAAAGATCAAGGCGGACGGTTGAAATTCCCAGAAAAAACTGGACAGAATCTTTATGTATCGACTTTGGTCGTAACGTTCGAGGGGTTAAATGGTCTCCGGCAATCTTCATCGGACTCTGAGAAAACTTTGGACGACTCAGACCTCCGAATAGTCTACAGATAGCCTTGGCTATCTTCAAACGAACTCGCGACGATCTTTAATGACCTTATATGGCCTTGAAGGACCTGAAGATAGCCATAATACCTCGAACGACTTTGACATGACCCCGAATGACCGCATGTGAGAAAAGGGACGATCCTGGATAGCAGCCAGAGGAGCACGTTTTCTATCAGGCTCGGAACCGGAGGAACGTCGTTCCTCTGGGGGATTCGAATGATCGATAATCACGGGGGTAGCTTTGAAAGCTCGAGTACGCCGGCTGGCTATTTTTCCAGCTGGGATTCTCGGCTCTCGGACACCGGTGATTAAGTTCCATTTCAATCTGCCGCTGGAATTCCTTCTCCGTCGGGAGTTTCGTAACGTCGACTGCTGGAGTGAATTAAGCGTTTCCGTGGATTGTCATGCGTGCTTCGTAGACACGGCATTTCCCCGTGAATACCTCTCGCAACGAACAAATTCGACGGAGAACTGAGAACGAAGGATCGACGAATAAGACTGCGGACTTCATCTTTTAGATTTAATCGCGTTACTTTTTATTAAGTAATACTAAATTTAATGTAGGAAAGTTGGTGGAGGATAGGCGGAAAAGGAAAGGTTAGGAGCGTTTCGTCCTGGGCCTCCTAGTGGACTCGTCATTAAGGTTTTCTAGGAGACCCGTGCTTTAGATGCGGAAAGGACTGGAAGGGATTAGGTCAGAAGGTGTATATATACAAATAGGAGCCTTTACGAGGACTAGCGAGAACCTGTGGTTCGCCCTGTCCCTCTGGTGGCAGAGCGTAGGAAGGTCGCTACAATACGATGATGAAAACTTTGAAATCGATATTTTCAACAAAAGCCTCAATTATTTGATACGATTAGAGCTTTCAATAGAGTTAACACTCGAAACTCAGTCACTCGCTCTAAACATTCACAAGGTATAGTGTACGAAATCACGCGATTTGCAAACCCACGTTAGATTCCACACTGTCTGACGCTGATATCGGAGCGATATAACAGAACTTTCACCGAACGCGTAAACCGTCGCTTCCGGTTCAGTGTTCCAGCAAGAAGGAGAGACAAAGACGAGAAATTGAGACGCGTATAGGCTCGGTGGGCGCCGGGGAACCATTAATAAGGAGTGCCTAATTTCGTGAAAGCCCAGAGCCTCGAACTATTATCTAGTAAACGTAACTCGGTCGAAGAGCGATTAAACGGACGCCACCAAAATACGTCAAGCTGCGACGGGCTGTGCCTGACAGAAAACCTATAGACGGAACAACCATTAATGAAATGACAAATGTGTTCTTGTCGACGGCACACGAGCAATGGCGCGCGTGCGAGCGAGCAAGCCAACGTTTACAAGCCTGTCGTTGGCTACGCGGAAAAATAAAATATATTCCGGTCGGCGTTGATTTACCACGGCCCCGCGATATCACGGATTTCCCGTGACGAAAGAGAGCCAGCCGGGTCGATTGATCGTTCTCGCGACACCTAGGGCGTCGTTGGAAATTCGAATCGACGACTTGGCGATCGATTGGCGCCGATAACACCGATGGACATGCGGCACGCGTGGATTTATACGTCGAAATTGTAAAGCTTCGACTCGATGAGAACCGTCCATTTTGACGGAAGATTTAACTATTGATTAATTTACGAGTTGTACACACTTGATCGAACATTTTTATAGCGTAACTGTGAGTAACGACGGCTTTCGCGACGGCGGGACTAGGCATCAGTACGCCACTAACGGACGGGTCGTCGTGCCATGAGTGTCTCGCGTTTTTCGAGCTCCCGGTGTGTCCGTGTAAAATCTTAAAGGAGTTCGTTGGAACAGCAGAGGACTTAAGGATGTGTTGGATAAAGGGAATGTTGTTGAGGCCTTGTTCTGTATTTTAAAATAAATCCAATAATAAATCTTCACTTTGAACTGTTGAGGCATCGCGCTTAATGGAAGCCGGATATAACCGGCGCTAGTCGCGAAAGGGTTAAAAGAGAAAAGTAAATGTTAAATAAAGGAAAAAAATTCATTCCACAAATGTATCACGTGAAACGCGTTAGAAAAGCTGCTTAATTGAATTTTTTTGCTCTTCTGGTTCCAGGGGAGCTACCAGCCGCGGTGCACGACGGTAACGGGGTCTCCAGGGCGTTTCTCAACCTGTGGCTAATTCACTTAACTATGAGCTACGTTTTCTCTAGATGACAATACTAAGGTGAGTCTGTTACCATGAAACCAACCTTAGCGGAGTGCAATTTGTAGTATCGGGGCCTCCATACCCAAAAATAGGAAATCGACACGGGAGAATGGAGAGAGAGTGGTTGGCGTAGCTAACTTGTAAATACAAACTAACCCCACTAACATAGAATAAGCCCCAACTAACCACCAACTAACCCCTCCCCCCCAGACTAAGTGACACCTCTCCAACCCTCAAGCTAATTGGTTTTTATATAATAAATTTTGCCTCCGGGCAGGCAGCGCACCACTAGACTCAAGACAAATATTGTATATAACATAACTAATTACAATATGTACTACATTTAAGTAAATAATAAAGTTAATAATAATAATGGTTGGCGTAGCGCGCAAAGCCTCGGCTTGCTAAGCCGAAGGTCCCGGTTTCGATTCCCCTTGGGGCCCCTCTCAATATTTTTCCGTCGGTTCCTACAAATTCTTACAATTTTACTTCTTGTCCACGTTGAACATCTTTCACCGTTTGACAATACCTGCACGTAGGTACTGAACGATTCAATTTACGTAAAAAGTATTCGACACGGTGTGGTAAAACGCGGAAGAGCTCTAAGCCAAAATTCAACCGTCTCGAAAACCGAAACGTTTACCGCGGAAGCTCAGGTGCGAGCTCAATTTCATTTCTCGTCGAGTCGTTGCCGGAAACTGGATGGAAGATCTAACCTAGATCCTGTCGTTTCGCTGTCGGAATCTGATGATACGGTCTCGTTTCGAATCGACGGGGGGGATCAGTGCTCGCTGAGAACTTCACCACGAACATTCTGGCGGTCGCATAAAATCGTTCGCCAACTATGATTATTACGATGGTCGTATTATTACGTTTTCCTCGTCTACGTCGCCGATTACCCCCGGAGAAAGTTTCTCCCGGTTCGTGTAATTATTAATAGCCCGGCGTCGTTTAAATCGTTCAACATTTCCCCCGTGGTAATCTCAGAATTGTTACAGCTCTCCTCGTCGTTCGACAAAATCCATTCCCGCGATCGTACTCTTTCTTCGCTTTTTCATTCGTTGTTTCTTCACTCTTTTCGACCATTTTTATCGTACCAGTCTCCTCGGTTATTTCTAGTCCACAAGAAACCCTTTTGTCCACCGTTACTTCTTTTTTCTTCTCCTTCTTTTGCTTCTTTTAACAACTGTTTTATTTCCCTTGGTTTTTTTCACCAGTCCACGGTTAGTCTGTTTTCCAAGTCCCTCTTTTTCTCTCTCTCTCTCTCTTTCTTTTCCTTGTCGTTTGTTTTTTCGAAACGAGTAGGTTTGTTTGCGATTGGGACCCGTTTCCTAGCTCACCCAACAGCTTTCTTCCTTCATTTCTGTCAACTTTCCTCCGGTTCCTTTTCTGACTCTCTCCCTCCCTTTCACTCTCTCCCGTATTTTCCTTTGGATTTTTTGCACGGTGCGCTTTTCCTGGTCCGTTTCTCTGGGATTTAACGCTCCCTTCGCAACACTGTTTCCGTTACCTCCCTTTTGCTCCCTTTTCATCCTCTCTCAAAAGCTTCCCTCGCTCTCTCTTGCACCCTCATCTGCAGCACAGTTTCACGATCTTTCTTTCCTCCTTCTGGCCGCCCTTTATCTTTAACACGCCGGATTTTCCGCCTTTGTTCTCCACGGAACGTTCGTCCCTAGTGCGTTCACCTTCTTTTTTCTCTCTCTTCACCTGTCACGTTCCGTTTTCTCAGGTTACTGTTTTCATTTGATTTTCACTCGACGAGAGTCAAAAGGTCCGCTCAGATATACGTATCCCTATCTATACAAAGATTTATCCCCCTTTTTTTTCTCACACTTTCCTCTCATATTTTTCCCCCCTCCAGCAAGGGGGCAGCCTAATCCGAGTTTCAAATGAGTTTGCAGACGCGCGCGCGCGCGCGGCTCGAAAGCTCATCGGCTCGTAAGAAAGTTGCGGAGAAGTTTCCAGACTAAATCTGCCGCGGTTTCCCTTAGCGCGGAAGTATATGGCGGCGCTTTAATGAGGAACGAATTGCCTGGAGGTGTGCTGCGGTCGGTCCACGCGACGCGTGTCGCGCGACGTTTAATTTCACATTCCGCCTAAGAAGAGAAATTCGTTCGGGACAGGTGCGTATTTTATTACTTGCCGGAATTTAAACCCGTCGATCGACCATCGGTTTCGCGTAGAACTTTCCTCTATCAAGTTCTGGCAAGCTGTTGCAACTCGAGAGAGAGTCTGTCGAGTTTAATTTTCCCGATGAAAATTTACAAGAGTGCCAGTATTTTCCGAACTTTCCGTAAACCTCGTCGATTTAATAATAAATTCCCGCGAATCGTTGTTTCCTAACCGATAAACTGAACCTCGGCCGGTTTACGCTCGGAATCTCTGTTTCTTGGCAAAACAAGGAAATCGATTTCGAAACGCTCGCCTCGTTCGACGATGTTGTATAAAGTTGCTCGGTGTATCGAGGGGGTGGAGGAGGAGGTGGAAGTGGCGGCGGATCGACGCGATTTAAACGATCATGGAAATCGAATCCACTTAATTGGATTTTACACGGTTTACGTTTCACGACGGCTCCAGCCGAAATAAACAGGCCGAAGGGCTCGGCCTCGCTGCGAAATAGTTCGCGTGGACGTTTTATCGCGTACCGCGTTCGTCAGTAATAGAATCGCCTCGCTGCTTCTGGATAAACGGGAGATAATTAGGAATTTATACGGACCTGGTGGATTTCTGAAGGTATCTGAAGAGATGTTCGGTATTTTTCGAACTTCATATACTTGCTGAAGCGTGGGGTAAAAATTTTCGTTGATCAAAGTAGCGATGATAGTAATAACATATTTGAAAATGTATTACAAATTATGCTGGGAGAGAATATTGCGTGGAGATGAAATGGTTACGTGTAAACAGACTAGATATTACACTTCTTGACAAAAGAGAAATGAAAAGAGAACCTAATTGATATTGCAGTAGTGAATGATACAAATGTGTTTCGTTTGATTTTGGTGTAGATGTAGGAAGGATACAGATTTCAACCAACAATTTGTGTCATGTTCAACAATACATAAAACTGTACAATGCCCCTTAAATGATAAACGTAAGCGTAGCTCGCTGTACGAATGCTCACGTACGGGAGCACCGAATCGTGAACGATAAAACTCTGTAACGATGATGAAAATGAAAACACGCTGGAGCGGCAGCGATATGAAGTAATTGCGTAGCTTCGGATCAGACTTGAGAATACCTTGAGAATACGCCAGAATACCTTGAGGGACCGCCACCGACGACCCGGATTGGACATTTTCGAAAAAGATCGGTCCAACGGATCGATCGCCGGTGAACGATCGCTCGGCGAGGTTGTTGCCCCGTTGTCTGGTCGGTTGGAAAGAGACAGAGCGATAAAGTTCATTGCTCCGCGGTGACAGTTGCCGGCGTCTAGCCCGGACTCAAACATTCGACTCCGTGTGTGAGTGAATGCGTGTGCCTGGGGATTAGACGCCGGCGAGCTAGCTAGTTTTTGAACTCTCGCCGGCAACCGTCACCGTACTTGGTTTTTAAAATTGCTTTCGCAACAAAATGTTACCAAAAAAAAATTATGAAATACACATCATTAGAGATCGAACTGAAAAAGCTCTGGAACCAAGAAACAGGAAAAATGGTACCAATCACTGTGTCCATTATAAGTGTTACACCTGAGAATTTCCTAGATCATCTTAAAACATTAACGCTAAACGTACCACGCCCGGTCAAATGATCGGTTCTAAAATTTGATTTAAAACCGTGCAACTGTTTTTTCCCGTTCTAGTTAAAAATAAAAACATGAATATGTAATCTTTTTTTATTATTATCTAAAGACTATTTTCTGTGTTGTTTCCTATATTCAATTGACAATCACCTGTATTCCTTTCGGAGAAATGTGATGTAATAAACAGTCCTTCTCAGCCGTCTTCCTAGCCCCTAACAAATTCCTTCCCTATCATAAAACAGTTCAAGTCGCATCCTGGTCATGTTCCCTTTTCCGGGTTTTCCCCAAATTATTTCAACTTTTGCACACCATCTTCACCCTCACGTTCTCCTTCCACTAGTTTCCTAATATCCAATCACACCTCCGCATTTTTCGAGACCTTCTTTTCCACCACCTTCAACGTCCAACCAATCACAACATACACCGACCTAATATATACCCACGCACCACCACAAATAAACAGAGTTCAAAAATATTCTTACGGAGAGAAACCTCTTATTCACCATCACCACACCAACTATTAGAATTTCGCCGTTCCGGGACGATACTAACCGAGTTCGAGCTGAAACCAGTCTCGTTCACGAGTCGAGCATCGTACAGTAAGAATGGGTATACATAAAGTGTCGGTACGTTTAGTGTCGAGCATACACACAAACATAATAAAAAGGACAACAATAAAAGAGAAAAATGTTATCTAAATAAGACCTCTGTCCGCTATTACGCCCATAATTAATCATTGCAACCTGAATTAAAAATTGTCAAGAAATGTTTGGTGCTTATCGGAAGATAGATTACGCTTGATTCTACTTCTGTCCACGATCATATCTCGTTATGCAAGCTTCGCCTCGCGATGGTATCCGTTTAGAACGGTAGTCGCTATTCACGTTGCTATGCATCGGCACGGTAACACTATCGACACTCGCGGTGAATTAACCGATATTCATAATTCAAGGTTTTATCGACACGATCCGTGCATTGTGAGGGTATAATTCGAGGAGAGGGTAAAGCCGGAGAAGGAAGCTGGGGTGTCATGTGACGGGTCCCACGGAAACTATAGCTTATAGAACGCGACCTGCGACCAGCGGTATCTCACCTTCCGTGCTTTCATTATCAGTTACCATAGATCACCGCGAGCGAACACCAATGACGTCGCATCCGTTCATCCCTCATCGCGGGACGTCGTTCAGCCAATCACGTCGCTGCGTATTCAGCGTTGTTTGTATCGAATATTCCGTCTGTGGATATCGGTCGTAAGATAAACATGAATTA